CAAAGTGAAATTGACCTATTACTACAAAGAGGTAAATTAGGTTTTGCATAAATATGGTATTTGTATCGTATTAAAAAAAACTAGAAATGAGATGGTGGAACAGTTGTATAAAAATATTGAAAAAAGCAGAAGGATTTCTTAATTTGTAGGCTAAGGAGGAACAGCGTTCCCCTGCGTTCCCCCGTACTTTAACCCCTGTATATATATATATATATATATATATATATATATATATATATATATATATATATATATATATAAACACAGTATATTTTATTACGTCAATGGACACTGGGAACTGGGAACAGGTCTGCTGCCCTATTGATTAATTCATCAGATCAAACACATGAGATTCTTCGACTTCTAATTTCACTTGAGTTATTTGAGAAAGCAACGTTTTACTCAGCATACCCAATGATTTTGAATCAGGTAAAATGTAAAAAAATTTTTTTACTTCCTAGTGTTTTTATGACATGTGATTCATTTGAGTCTTTTGATTATTTTTCTAAAAATAAAACAATAAAAATTGCTGATCTTATAAAAAAGAAAAAAATTGTAGAAACAAGAAACTTGCTTCTTTTCTTTTTTTTAATTGCATTGTCTATAGTAATAAATAAGCAGATTGTGCAATGAAGCCACTGATTGTTCTAATGTTCTCTTGTAATTAGATATATTAACTGTGATAACAGTGCTTGTTTTGACTTTCTGCAATTTATTGAATGTAAATCAAGTACAATTGGTCTTAGCCCAAAACTTTTCTGTGATTGATGATCTTGGTCTTGATATCCAAAAATGTAGAGGTCAAGGATATGATGGTGCAGGAGCAATGTCTGAAAAATTAAGAAGTGTATCAACTAGAATTAAACTTATAAACCTAAGGGCACTTTTTTTTCACTGTGCCTACTATAAACTAAACTTAGTTGTTAACAAATCATGCAATGTTCGGAGTCTTAGAAATGTTCTTGATCAAATCAAAGATATATCTTACTTTTTTAACTTATCTTGCAAGCGTGTAAGCTGTCTCAATTAGTTTATTATTACAGCTCAAATAAAATTGATTGATGCATGAAGAACTAGATGGACTCAGAAAATTAGAGGTCTAGATGTTTCTTTTTTGACAACTAAATTTCATTCAATGGAAGAAAGTTGCAGTATTACTAGTTAGGTTAGTAATACTAGTATTATATTATCTTTTGTTTTTGCGTATATTAAAAAAATAAAAAAAATATTTAAAAGAATTCTGCTTAACTGCCTACAAAATAAAAGAAATAATAATCCAGAAATGGAGGGCTAACCTAAGGCAACATGATAGTTACAGATGAAGTGCTAAGTCCTATGGCTTACCTTCTTGTTGGTGCACTTCGTTAAGTGAGTTAGACAAGTATTAAATATATAATTTATGAACAGAGAAGCCAAGGCAACATTTGCTATAAGTTTATGTTAGATAAGTAATTGAAAACAATAAATACTCTTGTGTGATTAATACAAGGGAGGAGACGTTTATTAATTATCGAAAAATTTTATCACCCACCCCAAGTTTAATAAGACTTATAACAAGCAAAAATTTATAAATGGGGGGTGTTTATTGATTTAATTTATTATCAACAAAAAAGCTCAAAACTACAAAAAATCAGTCCGGCTTTAAAAATTAGAAAAAATTTTATTTTCAATCAAATTATCTTTTAGTTTATTCCTCATTGTAGTATAAAACTAGAAGCATATTGAATCTTATAAAACAGCTGTTAAATAATGAGCATTTGACCAAAAGTTACACTAGAATCAAATTGTATCATTTGTGTTCTCTAAAAAATTCCCTACCACCCTTTTTTTTAAACCACCCTCTCCCCTATTTATTAAATCTTGACTAAAACTTCTTTTGTATTAAGCACGCAAAAGTGAAAAATAGACAGACTTTTTTAACCAGCAATAAATGTGAATATATTTTTTAGAAATACACAATATTTTTTAATCTTTACATGTTTCATAGTTAACATACTACATTTTCAAAAGATAAAATTGCAATTTAAAACTCTGGAATATAAAATCAAAATCTTAAGACATAACAGAGAAATAATAACAGACAATTTTCTATAAACATTTTTTTCTATAAACAGACGATTTTCTATATACGCTGTTGTTTGATTGATAGAACATACAAAAGCACCAACACATGGCTGGGATTTGATAAGAACATAAAAAATCTATCTGTTGTTTTAAAAAATAACCAGTATCCACCAAAAATAATTGACACTGAAATTAAATTCTTTTTGCGATAAAAAGTTAAATCCATCTGTTATAAATAGTATTGATAACCCTAATATAAGATAGAATTAACTTCCATTTATAGGATTTTACTCAAATTTTTTTAATCTAAAATTAATAAAATCATTAAAAAATATTGCAAAGATATCATAATTAATTTATTTTTCACTATGAACAAATTACAAAATAGTTTATGTATAAAAGATCCACTTCCTTAGCTGCTTAAATTCAACATTGTTTAAAAGTTTTCTTGCGCTGGATGTAATGCCAGTAGTAAGTGAATGGGGCCCCGACCCATTCACTTACTACTGGCATTACATGGTCTTGGCTGAAAATGAGACTTTTTGCAAACCCAGTTCCGGTCCCGACAAAATTTTAAGAATTAGCAGGGGTTGATAGATGAGGCTAGAAAAAAACTTTTAATACTTTATATATTATATTTTTATGCTTACATTAACTATTTAAATAATAATATTAAATACTGGGTTATATTTATATATTTTTAAACTCTAATTTACTTCCAACAAGATTGCAAGCAGCCACTATTAAGTTATGAGTTACTTAAATAGAGAATAAGTTAAAATACTAGCAAATGGTTAACTGAAGACTTAAAAAGTTGTAAGTTGTATAAAGAAGGAAAACATGAAGATAGGTAAGAGTTAGCTCATTTGAGCATTCACCATGATCGTATTTGTAGAAAAAAGAAAGAAATGCAACCTTACAACAATGGGAGAGTGGCTTGGTAGATAAAGCAGATTTAATTACATTTGTGCTTTGTCTGATAGTAAAATGTGCTTTGTCTGAGAGTAAAAGGGTTTTTATTCATCAATAAAGGAATGCCTTAAAGTTACTTGAAATAAAGAAAAGTGTAGGCCTTCAAGATTAATTTTAATACTGCTGTTAGAAAGAAATAAATTAATCTCAAAATCTTTATATAAAAAAATAAACAACAGAGTGATAATCTAATCATGGGATAGTTAAAGAGGTCAAAGTGTTTTCTAGAGTTTTGAAAAATTAGAACCACTTATTCAGCATTTTTTTTTTAATTTAGCAAAAATTGAAGAGTTCTGGAGGACACTTTTTAAAGACTATGATGGAAATTTTGTCTGGAGCACAAACTGTAGAAGTGTTTAATCGAGAATTAACTTTAGCATTGAAAGCCAGAGTGATTTGGATGTTTAACAATGGGTTAATCTGTTTAACTGGCAGTAAGAGTATAGCCATTAGATTCAAGAGTCAAATTAGAGTAAGGTTTCTTTGCAAATAACTCTGCTTTATTTTGGGGAGAAGAAAAAAGATCAGACCCATGAATTAGAGATTAAATGTTAGACTTACTTTAGTTAATGACACTAATGAAGACTAACCAAAAATCCCTAGAACCTAACATCTGAGATAAGATACAAGATTTAGTAAACTGAGAATAACATAGCTTAACATCAGACAGGACCTTTTTACATTTGGCTTTTTGTAATAATAAAAGGACATTTGTTCTTAAGAGAGATATTTTTGTAAAAAACATGTAAAAAATGATTAAAGTTTAATAAAGCAACTGGTGAAAAATGTGGAGTAGAATGAGACTTGACTTAAAATTGAAGAGAAGGAATAACAGCTTTTAAATTTTTATTTCAGAAGGAATAAAAGCTTCAGAGATGCGCTTTATGCATACATAATATGAATATAAACATACATGTTTGCTATTTATTCAGATGCTTGCATACAATATCCTTACATATTTATATAAACTTTAGTATTTATATGGTGTAGTATTTGCCAAAAGAAAAGATGATCAGATGATGATCATGATCATAATGATGATGGTAATGATGACTATGATGATCATGTGATCATAATGATGTTTATATATGCATATATATAAAAAATATAACATGAATTTTGAATAAAAAATATATACTTTAGGATGTATAAATGTTTATGCAACGCCGGTCACAAACCCAGCCCCTGCCCTGGCCTTGGCTATATTTTATCAAACCTAGCCTCGGCCCTTGTCAAATATTAACCCTGGTTGTTTACTAAATGCAAATTATATTGAAGAAACTTCCAGACACTTAACAACAAGGACTCATAACCACCTTAAAAGTGACAAACAATCTAATGTTTACAAGTATTTACTTTCATCTATTAATTGTAAAAATCTAAGTAATTATAATTGCTTTATATTTTTGAATACTGCTAACAAAAACAGGTTGAAAATCAAAGAAGCACTCCATATTCAATGAAAAAAACCCATCTTTAAATAAACAAACTGTTCATTGTAATATAAATTTGTCAATCTAGTTTTTTTTATTCACTTACTATTTTTATGTTATTTACGGTATCATAACTTGTATTATAATTTTTATTGGTTTGGAATAACTCTATTGTTAATATTTTTATGTAATGTCTTCAAATTTTTATTTTATATTCCAGAGATTTAAATTGTAATCTTATTTTTTGAAAATGTAGTATGTTAACTACAAAACATGTCAAAATATCATGTTTTTATTAAAAATATATTTTACACTTGGAATTCTGAAATCACAAATTTAACTTAATTACATAATGGTAAATATTTACATAATAGTAAACTATATATAAAACCAGGAAAATCAAAGGTGTCACAAACTATCAATTAAAATTTGATTTTACCCTTTTAATGCTCTAAATTAATTTTTGCTATTAGAAAAAATCTCTCCATCTTTTCTGTAAAATAACCTTTTTTGCGAACAAACTTAAATTACCTTTTCATGCAGCTTTGAAAATTCATTATACCTTCTGAATATGCACCAACTAAGCTCTGATATATGAACTTCAACTTTGTAAACCTAAATTATGTTTTAAAAAGATTTTAAAAGATTTAAAAAAAAAATTGTAAAATAATTTTTTTTAAACTAATTTTTTTTTTCTTTAACTTTGTTTAATAATTATTTTCTTAAGAAATTGTACCATTGTTTCATTTGTCAAATGAAGCCTTAAACATCAGATGGCCTTAAAAAAAATACTGGAATAAAAATATTTTTTTCAAAAAAATTTCAGTATTTTTTTATTATATAAAACACATTTAGAGAGTGAGAACAGAATTTTTTTAAAAGTTTTTTTAATAGCCACCCTAATGTGCTCGATTGAATTATGATGAATATGTTTACAGTTAACTAACCTAAACTCATCCACATTTAATAAAGACAATGTTTAATATGGTAGTAAAGTACTACTTTATCACACTGGTTGACAATCAAATTAAAGTCATTTTGGTAAACCTTGTACAAGTTTTATCACACTGGTTAACAATCAAATTAAAGTCATTTTGGTAAACCTTGTACAAGTTGGATGAGCAGGGGAAGAGGAGGCATCACTCTTAAATAAAATATCAAAAGCTAAAAAAATATCAAAGACAGGTGATCTGATAAACTGTTTGACTGAATTATACTGAAATTATTAACAAAGCATTGGAAACTCTAAAAAACAAGACAATGGTCAATTAAAGAAGAGATAACGCATGTCTCGCTTACAAAGATGAAGGAATTATGTGAAATGCAACTATCAGATTCATGTGTATTCATCAGCTTTAAAATCAAAATTATTCAAACATTATTCAATGAAAAATAACCAATATTATAAAAATGTTATCTATGTTCCTTCAATTCAGATTTTAAGCAAAAGAAACAAAAATATTATGACAATGGATCAATTCATGTAAGCCATAGCATGTACTGTGTTTTTTTTTTTTTTTTAAATCAACAGAAATCACATTAATAAATAGTAATAATATTGATATAGTTATTACCTCAGTAATGATTATCTCAGTAATGATTACTGATATTGATATAGTTATTATCTCAGTAATGATTACTGATATTGATATAGTTATTATCTCAGTAATGATTACTGATATTGAGTATTACTTATCAAGACTTAAACTATGTTGTAATTAGAAAGAAGGAATTCAATAACTTTGAACTTTCCTTCTGGATATGTTGTATAAGAAGTTATGGTTATGGTTATGGAGGCAATTTAAAGAATGCTTTTGCATCACCACACTATCTAATGGAAATAAAATCTTTTAGAAATAACTACTAAGTACCATTAAAACTTCAGACACCAGTGTAACTCCGGACAGAGTATTTCTCATTTTTCCTCTTCTATTTTTTTAATAATGCAGTGAAACTACAAATATAAATTAAACTTAAATGTGTTATGTGGAACAAGTTCTATAGAAGATTAAAAAAAAAAGATCATAGTAAAGGCATGAGTATTTGCTAGCCTGCATAAAGTTAAAATATTAATTTTATATGACCACATTAAAAACACCAATTTAAAGAAGGTTGAAAAACAACTGTTATAAGCAAACCAGATTAAGTTCTCATTGATAAAATGCTAAAAGTATTTGATTGGAGTTTCTGTCAAAAGCTATCATTCTAATTTACAATATTTCAGATTGAAAATTAAAATGAAAGCTTTTGATTTGATTGAGCTTTTGATTCATTTTGATTTCCTCAATAATCATTTTAAATTCTTTCAGGAATTTAACATATTGAGAAATATTTCTGGCAGAAATATTGTTTCTCAATCAAAATATTGTTTCAACAATCAAAATCAAAGTTATGAATTGAAATTATAATTTTTTTGATGAGTTTAAAAAAACAAATGAATCAATTGGTAATATTCTGTCTTCAAAGATTTACTTTCAATGAGACAAATTTTTCAGATGATCCTGAAGAAAAGTTTATTTTAGTTCAAAGGGGAAAACAACATTTTTGTAGAAAATTTTCAAGAATATATTAAAACTTCAATATCTATTATGTGGTTTGGCTCATATCTTATGTGGCTTCCTGAGTAATACAACCACCTATGGTTTATGGAACATGGAACGTTTATAAAGATTGGATGACAGGAGGGCCAAATGGAACAGCCTAAAGTTGCACAAAATATAGGTTTTTTTTTTTTTTTTTTTTTTACATCTTTACTTCCAACAAGGCTACAAGCAACCACTATAAGAGTTGGAAGTTACTGGAAGAGAAAATATGAAGTTTGTAGAGCAAGATAATGATTGACAGACGACTTAAAAGATTCCAAATTATATGAATTAGGAAAGCAAGATAAAGGAAGCAAATTCCAAAGAGCTGATGTTCAAGGAATAAAACTAGATGAATAAGAGTTTTTAGAGCACTTAGGAACAGTTACAAAAAAAGGATGAGACTTAATTAAATGTTGAGTAACACAAGAATGAATTTTAGTAGATGGCACAAAAGATGCTAGCTCTTTAGAGCATTGGAGCATTTGTAAAAAAGAGAAAGAGAAGCAACATTACAACAATGTGATAATGGTTGGAGGTTGGCTGCAAGAGCAGGTTCAACTATCTTTACAATGCATTTTTTCACCTTGTCTAAGAGAGAAAAGGAATCATTAAAAGATCCGCCCCAGATATGGCAACAATATTCCATTAAAGAACAGATTTGAGATTTATAGAGATAAAGAATAGAATCTGGAGTAAGAAAGTGTTGAGCACGATAAAGAGATACAACCTTAACAAATGCTAATTTTCCAATCAATTTGATATACGGTTTCCAAGAAAGATCAGAAGTGAGAGTTAATTCTAGAAGATGAAGGGTAGATGACTCATCACGAAGGAAATCACCGAAAGAATCTCAGTCAGCTTTAAGATAGTTGTAAGAAGTACAATGATAGGGGGATTCTGATGATGAAGAAGAATGAGATAATAGATTTAGAGAGATCAAAGCGTGATCAGAAGCACCAAAGGGTGAATGTGAACAAACTGAGTACTGACTAGGATCAGAAACTAGATACAAGTCAAGTAGAGAAGATAAATGATTCGTGTTGTCTAAAAAAGGAGATGGAAAGTTGAATATTTGAGTTAGATATTGAGAAAGGCAAAAGTTGAGGGCCTTGACACCAGCAGAGTCACTGACACTAGAGCCAAGCCATTCAGTGTGATGAGCATTAACAATGTCAACTAATTAAAATTAACTAATTAAAAACAATTAACTAATTAAAAAGTAATTAATGTTTGGTGAGTTCGGATTTTCTCCCAATTTTTCTTCCATTTCTAGTCTAAGTATTCTATCCAAGATATGATGTTGACATGGCACAAATTGAGGTTTTTGTAATCCTTTTTTTTGAAAAATGTCCTGAAGTTTTACAACAACACCATTTTTCTTTCCGGTATTGACATTTGTAGTATCTGTCACAATCATTTTAATTAAATTCCATAGTTTAAATTCATCTATAATATCATTAATAATAGTGATAGATTTTCCATCTATTAACTTCAGTGCGCCCAACTTTATTTCGCTCCTTTCATTTTTAAGAACAACAACCTGATACTCCCATTGGTCTATATGCTTTCCTTCGAAGTGTAGACTCCAATTCTCATTCTTTAAATCTTGAATTAAAGTTTCTTTAAATTGTTTTGCTTCATTAAAAAGAGCCTTGTATATTCCAGACTGTGATGGCGCTGGAACATGTATGCCTTCTGAGGACAGTATTTTACCTATTTTAGAAGCTTTCTTAGTTGATACCTTAGCACAAACCACTAACTTTGTTGCTATTTTACAACTACTATATTTTTTACGTCTTTTCTTCAAATTATTATATTCTTCATCTGTAATTTCATTATCTATCTCAAATTGTTCATCAGTTTCTTCAAATTCGGAATTTCTTCAAATTTCGGAATTCTAGAGTTGTCTCTTTCTATTTTACTACTTTCAGTAAATGAAGAAAAACTTTTAGATGCTGAAGGTTGGCTGGAAAGTTTTTGCACAATTGATGGATGAATAGTCTTCTTTCCTGCCAGCTTTGAAGTAGCATATCCAATTTCTCCTTTGCTTTGTAACTGAATTTCATAAAATCTTTTATCTTTCATATTTTTCTATAACATCATTAATCTTTCGCTTCGCTGACTGCTCTGTCAGACATGGGAAATTTAATTGTTCTTTCCACAAACTTATAACTTCTTCTGAAATAAGATCTATCCTTTGCTTTTTGGCTTTCACATCAGTACTAGACAAATACTTTTCACATCAGTACTAGACAAATACTTAAACCTGCTAACAATATCACTTTTTAATGGCATTTTGGAATATTCTTGACATATTCTTGACAAGATGTTTCTAACATTGGAAACTGTCTACTTTTATGCGAATCTTGAAATTTCACAAGATTTTTTTTATGTCTCTTTATTTTTTTCAACACTTGATTGGCAGTATTTGTATGCCATTTTAATTAAAAGCAGCACAAAAAAATCTGAAACTAATTAATAAACAATTAGGCACGGCAGTGAAAAACTAGAAATTATAAAGTGGTAATGCATTCGTCTGGTATGTATTTAAAATTATATATATAATATATATTAACCGTCTATATATATTTTATTATATATAATATAATAATATAATATAATAAAATATATATAGAGGTTTATGACTTCTTTAACTTATGTTTTCTGGCCCATATGTAATATGTATAGTATATTATATTCCTATCTATATTGTATTAAAAAACATTTCAGCCGAGGGGCGTGACATTTTTTTACACTTGAAGGAAAATAAACATTTCTTCATTGTTTTATAGCAAAAACTCATCCAAAAATAATATGGGGTTGTCCAAATTGTATAAAAAGTTAAAAAAGTCATATCCCTAATATATATATATATATATATATATATATATATATATATATATATATATATATATATATATATATATATATATATATATATATATATATATATATATATATATAAACTGAAATAAATAGATTAAATTTGAATTTAAAAATTTAAATTTAAGATCTTCCTGTTTTACTGCC